AGGTTAATAGATATTGATGGAAAGATGAGCCCAGCTGTACACATGGTTTGGGTGAAGACACGGTTTAATTTTTAATTTGAAAAAATGCTCTCTGCCATATTCCTTTAAAAACAGGATGTTGGTGAGCAGGGATTCAGTTCACCCATAATATTATTCATACTAGAAAAATAACCTTAAGTTGCAGTTTGGTTTGTCCTGACTTATTACTGTAAAGTTGAATCTGTCTCTATATAATGTCTTCATCGACTGGTCATCATGGCTGATGCTACAGTATCACCATGAGCAAAGGTGAGGATGTAGACCCACCTCAGTTGATGCAGGGACTGATTTTGCGATGTTGACTTTATTCTGCATCAAACTCTAGCCACCTACCCAACCGAGCTAACTGGCCCTTGTGAGTGTTGAATAATATTGGCAAGACCCGTTCTTGAACTTTATAAATAATTTTTCCCTCTGCCATTAGATGCAGTGACACTTTATTTTCCACACAAAAGAACTGCCAGTCATGAAAACTTTCAGCAAAGAAGGATATCTTACCTATCGTACCTGTGTTCGCTCCAAGAAAGCTCTATTTAATTAACTCTCCCCAATCACCACCTACCCGCCCTTCCACATAGTTCTGAAGGCTTCTCCTTTTCCAGTACATACTCCAATTCAGTAATAAATTAATATCTTTTACTAATGCACAGGTGAGCTAATGTTCCCTCTAAACTGTGAGGCCTTGCATCTATTTAAAAGCTCAAACTCACCTAATGGCATGCCAATACAGAGCTTCCACTTCTGGAAGCTGCTGCTGAGCATGGACCTCAGGTCCACCCAGCGGCAGGGAAGGTTGGAGGGAGCGGTGTTCTCCAGTCTTCATTGTAAAGTGTAACAGAATAAAACTCTGCTCTGCACTGTTAAATCGTTCTGATCAGTGTGATTTATGTAAGTTGAGCGAGTGGACAAATGCACGGTGGGGTCAGTTCAGCTCACTTGGCTGGACGGTTAGTTTGCAAAGCAGTGTGATGCCAACAGCATGGGTTCAAACCCCAACACCAGCTGAGGTTCCCATGAAGGACCGTCCTTCTCAAACTCTCCCCTCACCTGATGTGTGGTGGTCCTTGGGTTAATTCGCCACCTCCAATGAGAGAGCAGCTGTACGGTCTGGCAAGACTGTGGCAACCCATAGACGTGGCTGGTGATGTACAATGTGAGGTTATCCACTCTGATGGCAGCAGGCAGTGAAGAAGGGCAAGTATTTTGGTCTTCATAGCGAGAGCATTCCGATACAGGAGTAGGCATGTCTTACTGCAATCGGACAAGGTCTTGGTGAGACCACATCTGAAATATTGTGTCTCTTTTTGGTAGTCTTATCTGAGGAAGAATTTTCTGGCTATGAAGAGAGTGCAATACACATTTATCAGACTGATTCCTGGGATGAAATGATGTATGAAGAGAGATTGGATCAGTTAGGACTATATTCACTGCAGCTTAGAAGAATGAGGGTGAATCTTACAGAAACCATTGAATTTCTAACCCGACTAGATAGGTTCAGTGAGACTGGGGAGTCCAGAACCAGGACTTCACGGTTAAAGATACAGAAAATTATTTAGGATTGAGATAAGGAACGGTTTCCTCGCCCAGAAAGTGGTGAGCGTGTGGAATTCACAGAAAGTAGTTGAAGTCAAAATATTCAATGTTTTTTGAGAATAAGTTAGTACTAGTTCTTGGGGCTAAAGGGTATGGGGATAAAGCAGGAACAGGGTACAGAAGAACAAAGAACTGCAGATTGTTCGTTTGTTTTTTAAAAAATTCGTTCCCATATATCTGCCGCCCTTGTACTTCTAGATGGAAGTGGTCATGTGTTTGGAAGGTGCTGTCTGAGGATCTTTGAATTTCTGCATTGCATCTTGCAGATATTGCACACTGCTGCTACTGAGCATCGGCAGTGGGGGGAGTGTATGCTTGTGGATGTAGTGCCCATCAAGCGGGGGCTGCTTTGTCCTGGATGGTGTCAAGCTTCTTGAGTGTTGTTGGGGCTGCACTTATCCAAGCAAGTGGGGATTACTCCATCACACTCCTGACTTGTGCCTTGTAGATGGTGGACAGGCTTTGGGGAGTCAGGAGGCGAGTTACTCGCCATAGTATTTCATGCCTCTGACCTGCTCTTGTAGCCACTGTGTTTATGTGGTGAGTCCAGTTGAGTTTCTGATCAATGATAACTCCCAGGATGTTGATAGCGGGGGATTCAGTGATGGTAATACCATTGAATGTCAAGGGGTGGTGATTAGATTGTGTCTTATTGGTGATGGTCATAGCCTGGCATTTGTGTGGCATGAATGTCACTTGCCACTTGTCAGCCCAAGCCTGGATATTGTCCAGATCTTGTTGCATGTGGACACAGACTGCTTCAGTATCTGAGGAGTCGCGAATGGTGCTGAACATTGATTGCACAATCATCAGCGAACATCCCTACTTCTGACCTTATGAGGGAGGGAAGGTCATTAATGAAGCAGCTAAAGATGATTAGGCCTAGGACACTACCCTGAGGAGCTCCTGCAGAGATGTCCTGGAGCTGAGATGACTGACCTCCAACAACCACAACCATCTTCCTTCATGTTTCAGGTGTGACTGTGACCACCGGAGAGTTTGCCCCCTGATACTTATCGATTCCAGTTTTGCCAGGGCTCCTTGATGCCACAGTTGGTCAAATGCAGCCTTGATGCTAAGGGCTGTCATTCTCACCTCACCTCTAGAATTCAACTGCTTTGTCCACGTTTGAACCAAGGCTGTAATAAGATCATGAGCTGAGTGGTCCTTGTGGAACCCAAACTGGGCGTCACTGAGCAGGTTATTGCTGAGTAGGTGTTGCTTGATAGCACTGTTGATGACATTTTCCATCACTTCAGTAGACTGATGGGGCTGTAATTGGCTGGGTTGAATTTGTCCTGTGTTTTATGTGGTAATTTTACTCATTGTCAGGTCGACGCCTAATGTTGTAACTGTATTGGAACAGCTTGGCTAGGGGAGCAGCAAGTTCTGGAGCACAAGTCTTCAGTACTATTGCGGAATGTTGTCAGGGCCCATAGCCTTTGCAGTATCCAGTGTCTGCAACCATTTCTTGATATCACGTGGAGTGAATTGAGTTGGCTCAAGACTGGTGTCTGTAATGCTGGGGACCACTGGAGGAGGCCGAGATGGATCATCCATTTGGCATTTCTGGCTGAAGATTGTTACGAAAGTTTTAGCCTTATCTTTTGCACTGATGTGTTCGGCTGTTCTATTATCTGAGGATGGAGATATTTGTGGAGCCACCTCCTCCAGTGAGTTGTTTAATCGTCCACCACCATTCATGACTGGATGTGGCAGGACTGCAGGGCTTAGATCTGATCCGTTGGTTGTGGGATCGCTTACCTCTGTCTATCACTTACTGTCTGGCATGCAAAGTAGTCCTGTTTGGTGGCTTCACCAGGTTGACACCTCATCTTCAGGTATGTCTGATGCTGCCCCTAGCATGCCATCCTGTACTCTCCATTGAACCAGGGTTGATCCCCTGGCTTGATGGTAATGGTTGAGTGGGGGATATGCCGGTTCATGAGTTTACAGATTGTGCTGGAGTACAATTCTACTGCTGTTGATTGCCCACAGTGCCTCACGGATGCCCAGTTTTTGAGTTGCCAGATCTGTGCGAAGTCTGCCCCATTTTGCATGGTGGTGGTGCCACACAACACAGTGGAGGTTATTCTCAATGTGAAGGTGAGACTTCATCTCCACAAGGACTTGTTGGGTGGTCACTCTTACCAATACTGTCATGGACAGATGCAGATGGGTAAGGAGGAGGTCAAGTAATTTTTTCCCTTCTTGTTGGTTCCCTCACCACCTGCCGCAGACCCAGTCTAGCAGCTATGTCCTTTAGGACCCGACCAGCTCGATCAGTAATACTGCTGCTGAGCCACTCTTGGTGGTGGGCATTGAAATCCCCCACCCAGAATACATTTTGTGCCCTTCCATCCTCCAGTGCTTCCTCCAAGTGTTGTTCATCATGGAGGAGTGCCATACTGTTGCTTGACGAGTCTGTGAGACTGTTCTCCCAATTTTGGCACTAGCCCCCAGATGTTAGTGAGGAGGACGTTGCAGTGTCAATAGGGTTGTTTCTGCCGTTGTCTTTTCCAGTGCCTAGGTCAATGATCTGTCCGGTTTCATTTCTTTGAGACTTTGTAGTAATTGATACAACTGAGTGGCTTGCTAGGCCATTTCAGAGGGCAATTCAGAGTCAACCACATTGCTGGGGTTGTAGGCAAATATAGGCTGGACCAGGTGAGGATGGCAGATCTCCTTCCCTGAAGAATATTAGTGAACCAGATGAGTTCTTCCAACAATCGACAATGGTTTCATGGTCATTAGTAGATTCTTAATTCCAGATTTTTTTGCCATGGTGGGATTTGAACCCGGGTCCGCAGAACATTATCTGGGTCTCTGGATTAATCTAGCGATAATACCACTACCATTGCCTTCCCTGCATGCTGGATGCTGGAAATAAGAAACAAATCATAAATTGCTGGGAAGACTCAGCAGGTCTGGCAGCACACTGGACCTGAAGTGTTAACTCTGCTTTCTTTCCTCAGCCTGCTAAGTTTTTCCAGCAATTTATGATTTGTTACTTGATAGAGTTGAATGATCAGCCGTGATCACGTTGAATGTTGGAACAGGCATGAAGGGTGAAATAACCTACTCCCATCTTCTATTCTGTTTCTATGTTTTAACTGTTTGAATTACTTCCAGTTTAGCTTTTGATTTGTAGCCCTGTTCTTCAAGGCACAGAAACGTGCAAATATGGAGTTAACCTTCTTGTTAAATGCACACCAGGATTGCACTTCAGGCTTTGACATCGGGATGCTTTCAGCTTGAATTTAAGAATCGTGTACTTGTTTGCCTCTGTTGGGAAATGGGTGTGATGCCTGATGCAAGGTTTTGGATAAAAATGTTTTGGGGAATGAAAAACATTGTTTGAGACTTTCTTTTAAATGATTTTGTCTTTGCAGAAATTGTGGATGGAAATGCGAAGATGACACTTGGCATGATCTGGACAATCATCCTTCGATTTGCCATACAGGATATCTCTGTGGAAGGTAGGCAGGTTCAGTCCTCAAGTTATCTTTAAACCCTTCAGTATCCCACGGCAGCTTTCTTCTGTGGTTGTAATGTTGGGCCTCAAACATTGAAGCTTGTTCATCTTCTAAAAGCCTTGGCAATGCTTACCTTGACCGGGGATGAGCAGATAACTTTTACAGGCCTGTGCTTAGAATACACCTAACTCACTGTTTATATAGTTAGGAGATGTGAAACATAATCAGCTCTATCCATGGTTACCAGTTAATTGCATTTGACTTAAGTACCTGGTATTTATGCTACTTTTCTCTCATTTCAGATAAAAATACATGCAACTCAGGGGAGCTTTCTCCTGATAAAATTATTATTTTCTCTTCTTTCTCTCATCCCTCGCCATCAGGAGAATAAATAAACATTTCACTTAATACCCACACAATCTTTGAGATAGAATGGATGGTGAGGAAAGTTAGAGAAAATGATGGAGTGCTCCTAATTGAGTAGCATCTAAGCATTTGGTACCTGTTGCTAAAACAATTTGTTTTAAGTCTAATCTTAACCCTTTAAGTCAACTTTTTTGTATGTTTTAGGAACAGCATAGAAAATCAATTCTACTGCAATTGTTATTATGAGGTTCTGATGAGCAAGTTTGTTTTGAATATTCATGTTCAGAGATTCGTGTTGCTATGCTGAGAATGTTGCCCTGTCGTGTAATTATTTTAAAATGGAGATAATGTCTTTAATGCCAATAAAATGAACCTGTTGCTTCTAATTATTGTATACAACAAGGGACTTGAACAGTAACCAGTTATTTATAGAATCTTGGCAGTTCATCTCTTTGAAGTTGCCATCACACTGGGACCAGTAGCTACTCCTTTGAAATAAATAATTAAGTAAAGTGTCAAGAACTGGTAATCGTTCTGCGTGGAGATTGGTATCCTTCCTACTACTGAATGCCAGTCTAGTTCTATACCTTCAGTTGTGGAATAGTTATGCCATCCAAACAGAACTTATTCATCTATGGGACCCGAAAGGACAGATCTCCAGTAGAGGATTTGTTTCCTTTTCCAGATTTCACAAGTGTAACCTGAATACTGTTTGAATGACCTTTTAGCAATGAAAGGGGGAAAAGGCGTAATATTCCCTGCAGTATGCTGTGCTGTTACTTTTTCCTGCATGACCAGGAATATAGTTTTCCATTTGATCTGGAGAGTGTTGTAACGAGGCTGTGGCTTTAAGAGGTGTATTTTGTCCTGGTTTAATTTAAGAAAGAGATTGAACGAGAGGTGTAGAGCAGTCTGTGGTAATGTGAGGCCTTGGGAGTTTTAAAGTTGGAAGAATAACAGAAGCCTGGATAGGTGTGGCCAGCTCTCTCAGACTCAAATTTCTAATTTCTTTTTAAGCGTTAAGCAGTTGCTATTGGAGTTCCAACAGGGTTGGAAGCTTCAGTAAATGTCTCCTGGCTGCAACTCTGAGTTTTCGCTTGATTTCTTTTTTCTCTGTGTCTCTGCTGCTAGAATGCATGTGAGATCATTGGCTTCTGACTTGGCCTTTTTGTCAAGGGGTGTGTTTATGGGATATCACTATATTGGAACAGTCAATTAGTAATAGTTAATGTATCTATTATCCTGTTAAGTTTTCCAATAGAGTTAAGTTATTCGAAGTTCTTCTTTATTTTGTTTTTTAACTATAGTGTTTGAATAAGCTGTGTTTTGCTTAACATGTAGTTGAATTGCATCTGGAACACAACACGTTACATTTGCCTTTTAAAACAAGAAAAAGTTAGGGTCTAGGTGACCTTTGTAAAATATTTTGAGGGTCCATGACAGTGTTAAGCAGGTCAGGATCGAGTCTGCCTTCCACTTTGGCTTATTTGCAATATCCACTGCAGCACATGGACAGACTGCTGTTCCCTTCTGCAGACCAGCCTCGCTCAAGTGGAAGCTGGAACCTGAAGAACATGTTACAACATGCCTCGGGGCAGGTGGGACTTGAACCCTGGATTTCTGCCCCAGAGATAAGGGATACTACAGCTGCACCAAAAGTCCCAGACTGGTTCTAATATATGTGCCTTCATCTCTCACCAATTAGTTGCTGCTGTTAAATACATTTAGAACAAACACTTGTATACATTTCAATTGACATTGTATTCGCAACACAACAAAGAGGGTGTCTAGAAAGGAGTATTTCTGAACAGAGAAACACGTTGTCAGTGCGTTTCATCATGTGCTTATCAGGGCTAATACAAAGCCCAAATTTCACAACCAATCTCAACAGTTTATACCACAGGAAGAGTGTGTTTGGCTTGGTTGGGAAGCCCATTCTGACTGCCCTAAGCGTTGGCATGGAGAAAACATCTGGGAACTATCGCTTTCCCGAACTCCCAGGTAATTCAAAAAAGTGCCACAAGGCTGGAACGCATCCCTTTTGTTTGCAGAGAAATGAATTCCCGTGTACGAATGGGAGTTACATCTAGCAAGCATGAATAAGCCTCGTCTTGAGCCTGACTTATAATGTTAAATTGGTTGTTGGTGCAACGTTTAGCCCACAGAAGTTCAGGGATCAGGAGCTCAGAACCATACAGTTCCTTGTTGCTTTCTGCTTAGCAATGCCTCAGCCAATCAGAGCAGACTTCCCAATCAATTAACATTCCCTTCTGCTGCAGTACCAACTATTGTGATCATTTGAAATTTGATATTCTTGTGTTTGTGTCCTGATGATTGCATGAAGAAAACCTTTAGCAATCTTTTCAGTCATAAACAAGTATCCAGATTGTACATGGATTTGTATTTCCAAGGCTCTGACATTAGTTAGTGATAGGTTAGGTGTGGAAATTTGCTTCAGTTGGGTTTGAAACGGGTCTATCCTTAATGCTATACTTACACCTCCTTCCCTTACAGTTCCCTTGAACAGGAGGGAAAATTGATCTGTTTTAGTAAACTGATTTGTGATTGCTGCCAAGGCTACCCATTGATTGAACAAGAGAAGGGTTGTTTTGAGGAACAGTGTTGACCCCCTCCTCCCCACCACCCCTCACCCCAACATTCCCCACTGATTTTAGTATCAAAACCAGGTATCAGCCTGAATCTCCAAAAATTAGATAAAGGCCAGATACATTTTGAAACTGAGATTGCCAATGGAAATGTGATTTTAACTGGGGCCTGTTGAAATACATGAACGTTAAAGCACATTTTTCTCCTGTGGTATAAACTGTTGTAATCATTTTGAAATTTGATGTTTTTCCTTGTCCTGATGAGTACATGTTTGGCAACTTGCCTGTCAATTCAGCAGTACTCAAGTTCTATCTCTTTTTCCTTGTTGATTTGTCCCAACTAGCCAGTGTAAGTGTTTACTCTCCCCACAAACAAGAAGCTCACATTACCTTTACCCACCCTGGCCCCTACCCAATCTAATTTTAATTGTTGAAATAGTATTTGCTTCAACCACCAACCCTGGAAGTGACTGTCACAGTCTCTCAACTTCCAATGTTTAGAAGTTTCCCCTGCTTTCAGTTCTAACTCTGTTATTCCAGGGTCCCTGAGCACCTGGAAACATTCTGCTTCTATCTTTATGTCCCATCCTGTTGTTTATCAACCTTCTATCGTATCTTCATGCAATCTGAATTCTAATGAAACACATTTCTGTGTTCCAGACAGTTTCCTAAAACATCTTTATTGCATCCCTTCAGAAACCATGAATGTCCTTCCTAAATATAGTGCAAAGTACTCAACTGCAGTTTTAGAAATTTCATGGTATCTCACTATTATCAAATGGCTTTTGTGTGCTGTTCCATGTAATAAAACCTATAATTCCATTAGGGCTTTTATGGCTTATCCATATAAGGTGCTGTCTACAATACTTTGAGAGCTTGTGTGCCCAAGTACAGATCTATGCTCAGAACCAGCTGGTAAATGTTAGCCCTCTAATCTTACACAGTGGCGCGTTGTTCTTAAGATCGCCTTTGATTTTCACAGAGACATCTGCAAAGGAAGGGCTCCTGCTATGGTGTCAACGCAAGACAGCTCCTTATAAGAATGTAAACATTCAGAACTTCCACATCAGGTAACCCAATTTAAAAAGGTCTTTCTTTGTTAAGATTTCACCTGGAATTTTAAAGCTGCCTATTTCAGATGGTAATGCTATGTTACAGTTAAAGCCTCTGAGCTAATTACATGTCATGTGAAACAATGGCGCTCTCATTTTCGCACAGTCTTGCTCGCTCTCAATCACCGTTATGCAACTCCCATCATAAACACTGATTGAGGAACATTGTGGGGACAATCCTGGTAGTCCAGGAATTTCTGAACAATTGTAGCTGAGTAACCTATTTCTGAAAAATGCTTGGTCACTAAGCTTGTTGCATTTAGTTTTGGAAACCTGCAGCAAATTCATGTGCTTGAGTTCTTCTTCTTCTTGTGAAAATTGTGATGACATCCTAAATGTAATGTCTGCACTGTCTGCTCTGCACAAACAACGTGTATTTTCAACCCGTTGTTGTGCTTTAACCCTGGAATGCAGCGGTATCATACTTTCCTTCAAGGAGTCTTGCTCTGCCTGATTCTAATATCCGAGTAAAGGCAGCATTTCCAGTAATGAAAGTAACATTTTGCAATGACGCAGCACTTCTTAAAATGGTGCTTTTAAAGAGATGGTGATTTTTTTTTTTGAGTTGAGCTGAAGTATCACTTGGTGAAAATCAAACCATGACTACTTAAGTTGAACATGCGGCACACCACCAAACTCAGTCAACAGATTGACATCCATCAGCTTGAATTAAGAGTCTTTTTTGTTATTCCTGTTGCTGATGAATTGCTTTTTCTGTCATGTCTCTGCCCAGCCATCTAGGTAAGTGACCTCCTCCTGATCTGATACTGAGGCCATTCTGCTAGATCTGTCCACATTGACACACACCATCACACTGAGAATAAAGACAGATGTTACTTAAATAATGACCCTTCTATGTTGAATTGAATTGGGAATTCAAATTTATTACTTAGTTTTATTTCAGTATTATGTATTAGGTCATCTTCCTCCTTGCTCCATGTGCACTTTGACTTAAGGTAGATCCTTAGCTCACTGCTGCTGCTACATCCAGGGTATTTTTATTGTAAGTGTTTGGCCATGATGATTGACCATTGCCTTCCACTCTCAGGAGGAAGGTCTTAAGCATATCTCAGCCAGAACAAGAATTGAGCCCCATGCTGTTGGCATCATTCTGAGCCAAACACATGCCAAGTGAGCTAACTAGCTGCTCTACTACATGTTATTTCAATTGTAGTGGTTTGAAATGGATCTTGATCACCTACGAGGTTGTTAAAAGATGACTGGCAGTGTCATGGAGTATATGCTGACACAGCTTGTCATGTCTTGTACCTCATCTCCCCTGACTTGTGCCTCACAGTGGATGATTGCTCACAGAAGCCACTCAGTTTGTTGTGTCCTTGCCTGCTCTCTGCAAGAACGGCTCAGCTAGTCCCACTTCCCTGTGCTTGGCAACCTATTTTTCTCTTCAGGTGCTTGTTCAGTTCCCCTTTAGAAAGCCATGATTAAGTCTGCTTCCACCACACACTAAAGCAGTGTTTTAAACACTGCATTTCGCTCCATTAAACAATGCCTTTATACCCTTCCTAGATGTGGAGCCCAGAATTGGAGACGCTGAAGCATTTGAAGCTGAACCAGTGTAATAACGTTCTTGCTTTTGTGCTATAGCCTATACTTAGAAAGCCATGATCTGCTTAGCAACACCTTACACATTGCCGAAACCTCCTTCAAAGAACTGAGGCTTTGAATTCAAGTTAGAGAAAAGTGTCTAAAGCCACTGATGTTTTGGAACTGAAAAAGGAATATTAGGATTCGACAGTGACGTTTCAAAATGTCACTGATAGCATTGAAGGCTGGGGCTCAAAGTCTAGCTTTGGACGTTTGGAAGTGGCTGAAGAGAATAACTGGCAATTTTATACTCCCCACATTATTGCCATTCACCTCTTGATTTGTTTTGATGTTAGCACCACACTGTTGTGAATGGATCTGAAAGGAACCCTTCACAGTAAATTCGCTATGTTCCCAAAAGGCAGCAGCTGTAAAATTTGTTTATTTTTAAACCTGGTGCACTCAGCTTATTGGATCCACCTAACTACTAGGAGCTGCCAGCATCTTCTGGCCAATGCATTGGGAGCCAGCAACATTACACACTATTCTTGCACAAAGTAGATGCAATTTTACGTACATAACCTTTTTTAATTCTTCTTGATGGAATTTCAATATCACTGGCAAGATCAGCATTTGTTGTCCATCCTTAATTATACTTGAACCAAGAGGCTTGCAAGACCATTCATTGGACAGTTAAAGTCAACTGCATTGCTCTGGATCCAGAGTGGCATTTGGGCCAGACTGGGTAAGAGTGGCAGATTTCCCTTCCCCAAGTCATAAAATTGAGACTGACTTTCAAGTCCAGACTTGTTTTAATAATTGGATTTAAAGTCCACCAGCTGCTACGGTAGGATTTGATCCCATGTGCCCAGAATACTTTACTGATAATATTATGTTACTACTTTGTCACTGTCTTCCCCCATATACATTCTCTTAACATCATTTAATTTTGGGGCCAACTGACCCAGTGCACAAGGTTAAATCTGAAGGATTCAATGTAACAGTTGAGAACAGGAAGAGAGTTTCAGTTAAAGAATCCCTACGGTGTGGTTGCTGGCCATTCAACCCGAGTTCACACTGAGCCTCCGAAGAGCATCCCAGCCACCCAGATGTGCCCCCTCTGCTAATCTACTTAGCCTGAAATCCCTGGACACTACGGGCAATTTAGCACAGCCAATCCACCCGAACCACCCCCCACAACCTCCCAACCGCACCCCCCCCACCCCCCCCCCCCCCCCCATAGCTGTACTGTGGGAGGAATTCACAAAAACCCCCAGAAACCCATGCAGACCCGGGGAGAATGTGCAAACTCCACACAGCCTCCCGAGGGTGGAATGGAGCCTGGGTTCCTGGGGCTGTGAGGCAGCAGTGCTAACCACTGAGCTACCATGCTGCCCAGTCCTTTTAAGCATGATGCTCCCTTCATGTAAATCAAGGCTAATCTCTACCCCAAATCTATTCCGTTGTCTTTGTTCCACATCCTGTGAAAACCTTACTGAACAAATTTACCTCGTTCTGGCTTGAAAGGTCCAATTAACTCACCCATCCTTTTGGAAGAGAGATTTTGAGACTTTGCGTTGTGTTGAATGCTCCTCGCTTTCAGTCCTAAGTGTTCTTTGTTTTAATTTAAGTGTTGCTAATGGATCTAGAAGTTACCCTCGCAGTGCCAGAGCCCTAATTTTTAAAATTGTGCCCCCTTGAATATGAATGCCACATCAGAGTTTCTCTTTTAACTGTTGAAGAAATTGTTAGGACACTGTTTTATTAGTACCACAGAGATGGAGGCCTGTCAGGCTGGTGCAAAGCACCAGTTTTCATTAAGCAGTTTAACACAACACTGGAGGATCGTGGATATGGCTGAGGAATGTGGCAGTGTTTTCTGATAATGGGGCTTCATTGTGACATGCTATTTCAAGTAGTTTCAAAGCAGAGCTGGAATCTGAAGTTGACATGTGGAATTTGGGAAAATGCTAATGGCAGTATAATTTTCTTTCCTGTTTTTCTCTGTTCCTAGTTGGAAGGATGGCCTTGGATTCTGTGCTCTTATCCATAGACACCGGCCAGAACTCATTGACTATGCAAAGCTGCGAAAGGTTTGGCATCCCTTTTCTCCATTCGTACATGCATTTGTTGTGCAAATGAATAAATTTGCGTAGTTTGATACTCGATCTGAATATTTTTTTTTGATACACCCATTGACACCTTCTCTATGAATCCCCACAGCAAAATTTTCCATCCCTGTGTGAAAGGTTAAGTCTCGGAAAATGTTTCTGATAAAGGGGTTGATCTGCTTGGATGTGAAGAATTTTTCTCTTGGGTCTGTGTTGTTCAGCTGCAGTGCCTGTCCTTATACTGCTCCTGAATATCTTCCCATTCGTGGGCTAGAGTTGTGAATTTGCCTGTAAAAGTGATCAGAAACCGTCCTAGTGTTGTGGATCTAGACTTTCTACCTTGCACGGCCCCTGCCTTAGTGAAAGCAGTGTTTATGTGATGTGTGAACACCTCTCTCCCCTCATCCTGGGTGTTGGGGTCCCTGTCAATAGCAGCAGCAGCAAAAATGTGGAAGGTTTAAGCTGTGGTGTGTCCTATGTGTGGGGCTGCATGGTGGCTCGCAGCACCAGGGACCCAGGTTCGATTCCACCCTTGGGCGACTGTCGGTGCGGAATTTGCACGTTCTCCTCATGTCTGCAGTCGCTCTGGTTCCCTCCCATAGTCCAAAGATGTGCGGGTTAGGTGGATTGGCCATGCTAAATGGCCCATCGTGTCCAGGGATGTACAAGGTAGGTGGATTAGCCATGGGAAATGCAGGGATAAGGTAGGGGTTGGGTGTGGGCGGGATACTCTTCGGAGAATTGGTGTAGACTCGATGAGCCAAATGGCCTGCTTCCGTGCGTAGGGATTCTATGATTCTCTTGTTTAAAGCAGAGTGCTTGGACAGAAGGCAGGAATACTGGTGCAATTGAGAAGGGCTGGTGAAGGGAACAGCTGGAATGAAACTGCAAAATTTAAATAAAAGTGCGTTCTTGATTGGTACAAGTTACAGCAGAATTTTCATCACTGGAAATTTTGCGAGTCCAGTGAAACCAGGCCAGTTAATTTTTTCTTGGTTCTTTAGCAGTCAACTTGTGTGGAAACATAGAATGACATTTGATAACACTACTGGATAGTCGACTCTCTAAATAAAATCAACGCAGTAAAATGGCCTCTGTACACTTACTAATTTTATTGCTTTCACTTGCAATATGGACCATCCAGTCAGTTTTGATCTTAGTTGCAAAACACAAGTTCGTAGGGAGCTGAGAGAAAAAGAGAAAGAGAACCTGAAACTCCTCATTAGCTCTCATTTTGATCAGTAAAGACCTTTTCTGGGTTATTGGAAATCTCCATCATTGTACTTTCTTAGCCACTTGCTTTCAAAGCAATAAGTGATTTTTCTGCGATTTGTATTTTTCTCTTGAAAAGAGATCTTCTGTTAGAAATGTGTGATCTCACCAGTGGGTGAGAATTCATTTTAGGATATTGTTCCTGAGTAGCTTTGCAGAGATTATCTGACAAGACTGTGGCAAAAACATTTCAATTCATTTGATTAAATACAATTTCCACATTATAAAACACACAAAGACTTCAAGAACGGATTCTGAGTTTTGTTGGGATGTTGTTTTGATATAGATAAGTAACATTACCACACTGGTCACCGTCGGTAAATTCACAAGCAGCTTCAAGCAGGCCAGCTTTTTTCCGTCTGTAGATGTTGTGCATCTGTAGAGATGCACAACAATAGCTTATCTTGTGATTCTAATATTGCAGCCCTCAGAACGAAATATCGCAAATTCAGTTCCTTTTTGTTTTTACTGAAGAAAAACCCAGTAAGGTTCTCATTTCTCTTACAATTAATCTCTAATATTGATACTATTTTTGGTAGACATCACTGTGTACTACCTGCATGCATTTTCTTGATTTTTCACTTCCCTTTGGTATGTTAGTGTTGTCTTGCTTGCTGTCTACAACCCACAGTATTAACAGAATCATCTTTGTTTGGTAGCTGTGCGTAAGATTCAATATTTCAACATGAATCAGAGGTCTTGAATGAATCTGTAGTTTTGCTTGTGATTGTATGCGGTCTTACTGGCTTCTTTAGATTCACCCTTGTGAAACAGTTGGAGTAATGTCCATAAGTGTGCAACACCTTAGTCCACACTTAGAAATAGCTTGATACTTACTAGATTTCCCAGTTGTGGAGGGTCATTTCCACCTAATCATCAACACTTTGTTTAACATAATCCGTAAGTGAGATCATGATGTTGCAAACTAATGTTGTAGATAAAGTTTACAAGCCCAAACAAAACAAGCTGACCTGGATACTTCATCGCTTTCAGCTCTTAACCTTTTCCCACTTTTTCTTGATCCTAATTATGTCTGCCACCTTTGTCTCCAAATTTTGAAACTGACCCACAACTCTAAAAGAAACCACACTCCACTGAGCGAACAAACCCACCAGAGTGAGCCATACAATAATGGGGCTCAGGCCAAAGTACAATTCCATAACCCCAGCTGAGGATTGAAAGCTTAACAGATATTGGCGAGAAAAACTGAACAAAAAGTAATTGAAAGCATCAAACAAATACAGGTGGTGAACTCCGGTACGACAGAAATTCAAGCAATAGATGTGAACATCAACAGCAAACGTGAACACCCTCCTGTCTACACTGCACATCTTACAACATTGACTATAGGTTCATGTGAAACAGGCAAGTTACACTAGAAGTACAATGGGTCATGGGGATCATGTTAGGAGGTATTAGAGTTTGAGAATTGGATCAGCAATGGTGAACTATCCCCATTTATCCACCAATTTTTGTTTTAAAAATCCTGAAAGTATGTCCTGCATACCATTGCTCTAATCTATTGTGAGAGATACCAAAAACAACCCTCACATATAAGATTTGTACTAAATTCAGCCCTTTTCTACTTCCATGCTCATTTTTGCCATTAGTTATTGGAAGCATCAGTTGTCATGACGAAATATTGGCAGAGAGAAACTTTCACCAGGAACTGTGAAGAGAGCAAATTGAACTGATGATTACTGGAATAAAATGAGATTGGTTGGAATGTGTGATAATGTTGCATGCTTACAATGTCAAATCTTTTCTCGTGCTTCCTGAAGTTGTCTACTTCCACAGGTCGACACAAAAATCCCGTCAACCAACCATATTGTCTGGTATAGTGGGCCCATCAGTGGATAGTACTGTTGACCCTGCAACTCCAAATTACCAGTAAATTAGCAGAAAATAAACTGTTGGATTACTGTGGTATGGGTTGAAAGTTATTCATTTGAGTTCACTAATCATGAAATACACAGAAGCAAGATAGATCAAGCTTTGAGGACACAAATAAGATAATTGATTTCCTGCCAATACCCAAAAACTTTTAAAAGTTGTACAAACTCTCAATTCTTCAGTTGTCTAGGTGAATATGGATTGTTTCTGTGTGATGAAGCACTTGTGACTAACTAACTTTGTAAACCATCTTAACCAAACAATTACCTCTTGACTTGGGACACATCATCTTTCCTCTGAGTGCTCAACACAGGATCCATATCACTTCCACTGCCATTTCTTAGAACGTGTAATGGGCTCAGTCAGTGTTAACCTAACGAATCATAAAATTGCACAACACAGAACGAAGTATTTGGTCCATCCTGCCAAGGCAGATCTAAGAAAATGCTGTCAAATTAGTCCCCATCCCCTAAGTGTTTTGAGTTTCCTCACATTTATTTTCCTTTTCAAGTATAAATGCAATTCCTTTTGAAATTTATTATTGAATCTGCTTCCCACACTCGTTCAAGTGATGCATTCCGAATCTTAACTATTCAGTGTTTAAATAAAAATCTTCTCATCTCTATCTCCTTTTCCAATTATCTTAAATCTGCTTCCCCATACGTTTTTTTTTAAAATTCTTTCATTGCTCTTTTGGCCAGCATTCTCTGCCTATTCCTGATTGCCCTTGAGCTGAGTGGTTTGCCTGGCTATTTCAGAGGGCAGGTAAGAGTCCATTACATTCCTATGGATCTGAAGTCTTAGCAGGCTAGACCAGATGAGGATGGCAGATTTCATTTCCCAAAGGAAGGGAACTTATCGATATGGTTTCACAATCGCCATTACTAAGATTAATTTGCAATTGCAGAGTTATGAGTGTAATTGAAAATCCACCAGCTGCCTCATAATTTTGAGGTTTTTGATTAAATCTCCTTTTCTATAAAGAGTGAAGTCTCTGTTTCACGTACTTGTTTTTTTAAAACAAAACAGTAACTGATTTTACCCTAGTGGGAAATTGTGTTGGAGTTCAGATTAACCAGACGTTTGAATTCCACTGCCTTCCCCCACGTTATGATCTGAAGAGGAAGGGATATCTCTTTACCTATTCATTGTTTGATCACAGGAAGATTTTTGAGGATTTAATAGGATGCTGGATTGTCGTTCATTATATACTTGACTGTGTGCTTTCTTTAAGAAATAAGCCAGACAGGTGCTTTTGAATTGAATACACAAGTCTTATTGCTAAAAGCTCCTCAGATAAAACTATTAAAACGTTTTGAAATAATCCAATGGCCATTAATGCACGCATGTTCAAACTGCAACTGTTCTAAAGTTCAAACTACAGAGCATCTGTATTAAGATTGAGTGTTAACGCAGAGTTAAACTTGAATTAGCAGAAACACGGATAATGAAGGAAGGTCAATAATAAAAACTCACTGGCTAGGATTAGGGCTAGGGTTACTGGCTATCTGGCTGTTTGGTTCTCCAATAAAGGAGTCGTTGTACACAACAGTGTCTGGTATGTTCTGTTTTCTTCCGGAGACCATGATGTTGAGTCTTTACTTCTCTGTAGTGAGGGTTTTCTGTCTGGTTCCTGAAGCCAGAAGTGGGCCTCTCAACTTCGAGAGGAGTTTCGGTGAGAGAATGAGGTGCTGACTCCTCAAATCCAAATTCTGACATTCACACACAAAGTTGCAACAGTACCATCGCACAGTAGATTTTATGACTTACAAACAAGGTGGGGAGGGCATGTCAGTCTTGAAATCTGCTGTTGACCTTTGCTTTTCTTATTGTCTTAGGATGACCCTTACACCAACTTGAACACAGCCTTTGATGTGGCAGAAAAATACCTGGACATTCCCAAAATGTTGGATGCTGAAGGTGAGTGTTTTTGTTGTTAGTGTTTTACTGTTAGTGATTTACCAAACCTCAATAGATTTTTGTTGCACTGTCTTAGAACTATTATAATCACAAGATAAACCTATACCTTTGAATTAAGACTGTCTGAAATTAGTTATGACAGGTAACTAAACATTGCAGTGTTAACCAAGTGGGGGTTTGAAACTCCGCGAAGCTGTGAGTTGGCTTTATTTACATTCTTTCACACATTGTGCTGTTTCTGATGTACAAATAGCTCAGTACTGCATTAACTACAAAACAGCCATGTATATACTGTGGTGCTTTAGAAGATACTCCCACATATGTGGTGCTCAATTGAAATCGCCGAGGGGCAAGAGAGCATTATCAAAGGAGCATCGAGATTGTAGAGGGTTATCAGGCTGAAAGTGGTCAGCAATGGGGCGGGATGAGACCAGGGAAGAAACTGAACGCGAGGATGAAAATGTTAAACTTGCTGTGTTATTGGGCCATGATTTCTTGAAGGTCAGCGAATGCAGCAGTGATGGGTGACCAAGATTTGGAGAGAATTAGAACAAATCTATGGTTTTGGGTGGTCCCAAGCTTTTGGAGGATACAGATGGGAGCGTGATTACAAGATCATGGGTACAACCAATCCCAGTGATTAGAATTGTGGAATAGGATTATGGGTAAACTGAGGCAGGGAGTTATAGAAGGACGAGGTTATAGAAGGATGATGTACACCAAGAGTACTAACTTAACCACACTATATCCTCTGTGCAGACTCTTCATTTCATCCTCACCAATTACTTTCCCACCTACTTTTGAGTCATCTGCAAACTTAGCTATAGTACATTCACTTCCTCAAATAAGTCATTAATGTATATTGCCAGCAATTGTGGTCCCAGCACTGATCCCTGTGGTACTCCATTAGTTACCGGTTGCCATTCTCAAAATGCCCCCTTTATGTCCGCCTGGAAACAAAGGCTGGATTTTATACCTGCAAGTTGTTTGGTCGCACTCTGCCTTCTCTAAACAGCCCTTCCCCTAACCCCTGTGCAAAATTATTATTTTTGGGTTGGTGCAATTGTGCAGGTTCGGCAGCATCCCCATGCTTTTTTTTGACATAATGTCGTAACTTTTAAAGCTTTCCTTAAGAAAGAAAGACAAGATTCAGAGTGGAGGCTTTTAAGTTTGTAGCTGTGACCAACCTCTGTTAACAATGTGGCCCCTCTGCCATATGGCATCCCTGCCTCGACACCCGATTTAGGTATGAGTGCACCCCATCTTCATCCTGTTATTTTGCTGAGCTTAGGAGCAACAGCAGGAGCAAAAGCATCCCTCAATTTCTGTTCTGCATGCCTCACTTTCCATTCTGCATCCCTCACCCAAACCGCTCCCCCCCTCTCCCTTGAATAACAGAAAATCTGGCCTAGAGTTAATGGGCCAAGACTATGACTTCTCATTTGAACTCTTTCTGATGGAAGGCCACAGATCTGAAGTGTTAACTCTCATTTTCTCTCTCTCTCCCAGCAAATGCAGTCGGGCCTACTGAGTATTTTGAGGATTTTTCTGTTTTAATTCCTTAAAAAGAAAAACAAATCCTTTATTGTCCAATTTCTGATCATCCCAAAAGAAACCTAGAGTTGCAGTAATCCAGAACGCTTTACAAGTTGGGAAGGGTGCTTAAAAAAAGTTAAGAGAGCGAGGCAGAATTGAAATCGGTTGACGAAAAGGTTTCTTGATTAAATCGGGAACATTGAGATGTATACGTCTGGTGGAAGGTTGGATTTTGTATCAGGTAACAGACTCTTTGGTAACTGAAAGTTGTAATTCCCTGTAAATGTCAAACAATTCTGCTCCTTGGAATAGCTAGTATGATTTATCTTGCATAGATCCTAAATTTTGGGATTCTAAATTGAATCATTATTATGTACACTTTAGTGAGTGTAGAAGTTTTTATGCCATGTTGCGGGGAGAATCTCACCATTTCACAGCTACTTGTGGGCATTTTCTGCAGTTAACTCCAGCATTCTCTGAACTTCCCTATGAGCACAGTAACATGAAGACAATCTCCAATAAACCCTCGTTGTTGCAACGTAGAAAAAAAATCATCTCTTGTGGTCACATGTCAGCTGTCCTCTTTCATAATACTCTTGTAGTACCTCAGTCACAACAACTGGTTATTTAGTGCCTTTAATACAGCCAGAACTTTCCAAGGTGCTACACAGAAGCATTACAAAACAAAAGATGACTGTGTGCTACATAAGGAGCTATTATTTCAGATGACCAAATGTTTGGTGAAAGAGAGCAGTTTTACAGAGTGTCTTGTATCCATTGAGTCCATAGAATCCCTCCCAGTGTGGAAACAGCCCATCCGGCCCGACAAGTCCACACTGGCTCTCTGAAGGGCGTCCCGCCCAGACTCACCCTCACCCTCACCCTATCCCTGTAACCCTGCATTTCCCATGGTTAATCCACCTAACCTACACATCCCTGGACGCTCTGGGCAATTTAGCATGGCCAGTCCACTTAATTTGGACATCTTTGGACCGTGGGAGGAAACTGGAGTTCCCGGAGGAAACCCACGCAGACGTGGGGAGCGTGTGCAAATGCTACACAGACAGTCGCCTGAGGCTGGAATTGAACCCGAGTCCCTGGCGTTGAGGCAGCAGTGCTAACCACTGAGCCACCAAGAAAGGACTACCATGCATTGGCTGGGAAATGAACCTGGGCTTCCCCCTCCGTGGGAGGTGAGAATTCTACCACTGAATCACTGATGCAACCATGAGGAGGGAGGTAAGGTTATCAGACTGAGGGGAGGGTGTTCAAGAGCCTTAGGATTTAGATAACTGACCATGGATAGAGAAATGATTAAAATCGGTGTTGCTCAAAATGCAAGAATTAAGGAGTGCAGCTATCTTTGGAGGTTTGTGGGACTAGAGGAATGTAACAGTCTAAGCAGGATTCGCAGAGAGCGATGTGCATACTGTCGACTGCAACTCTCCCAAACTGAACTACAACAAATCTGATTAGGAGATATCTACCTCCCAAAACTTTAATTCAGAATTTATGCTCTTGGATGCCCAGGGTGTTCTGATAATTGTGTTTTGAAGGTACATTGGTGCAATGGGCCAAGCCACATAAACTGCCTACTGGAGTAATTATATGCCATTCAATTTCAATGTCACGTGGGACAAATTCTTCATTGTATTACTGACATTGCCCAATGCATATCAGAGTTATCTTTGCATACATTGTGAAAGCAATTGTATAGCACCACAATTACTTTTAAAAATCCACCACACTCCGTTGTAGTTAATTTTGTAAGAATTTAACTATGAATACTCTTTGTTTTGATATGGACCTTGCCTGTTAACCTACCCGGTGTGTGAAATTATGTTTTCTCACTGTTATCTTAACACTAATTAGCGAAAAGGCATTTTTCCTCTGGGGCAGAGCTTCCTTTTGATAAGGGCACCAAGTGCCTCCAGCACTTGCAGAGTTGTTTATTTTGTTGACTGATATGAATAATGCCTTGAATTGTTCCTTGGCACAAATCAATGGCAGCCATTCTTGGTAATTAGAAAGGGGAGAACAACTTTCCAGTTTTTGATCACAATGATCTGATGCCCCAGTGAGAGAAAGGAATGCTAATTTAACTGTTATCAATGCAGTGAAACCTGATCATCTTATTTTGGGTGGGGCACAGCAGCATTCTGCTATATCCAGGTGCAAAACTTAAATCGCAGAAGTCCTAAACCTTTCATATTTGTCGTGTTACACTGCACAGCCCAAACTAAAACATGAATGTATGACTCAACACAAAAACTTCTGTTTTTTTTCATTTTTCTAATTTATCGTGATGTGTAATAACTTTTTGGTTCAGGAAATGAAACTGGACCGTTTGTAAAATAAAAAGACACATCAGCCTATCACAGTGCCCTGGCTAATTCACAAGTTGTTGAAGTGACGGATGTGCATTGGTCATGTTATGTTGATGTCGTTTGATAACAGTTTTAATGTGCCTTCTGTTTCTAGTCACTGGATTCCTTGACAGTACTATTTTATCTTGTTAACCTGTTTGAAATAAAAGCCAGTGGTAATGAACAGCAATGGGCCTTAGTTTAATCTGCCATGTTGCTGTTGGAAGAATTAAAGCTCTCAGGACTGTAAAATCTGGATTTCACTCTGTGTGGATCGCCTCCAGCTTTCTGATTCAAAAGTCACTGCAACTTTCTTGTCCCAGGCTCCTCGTGGGGACTACGAATTCACGTCTCTCTTGTGCAATACAACTGTTTCTAAATGTTTTCCCTCAAGATTCTCAGTAGATGAATATGTTGTTAATTTATTTTTACAAAAATAAATCCTTTCCTGTGTTTCCTGACAGACATTGTTGGTACAGCACGTCCAGACGAGAAGGCAATCATGACTTATGTCTCTAGCTTCTACCATGCATTTTCAGGAGCCCAAAAGGTATCGCAGGAATCCATATTTCCAGCAACAATTGCTTCTCTGGCTAACTATACTTTTTTTTTCTGTTCTGCAGCTGGTATGTGTTTTTTCCCATGCTGAACTTTCCACTCTTGATATGATCTCCTGTGTTGCATGATCGGAACAGTATGGTTCTTCGCTGATTTGTACCTTGGCTCACCTTTTCCTTTTCCTAATCTTCTCTTGTCTTCCTTGCACAGATCTTATAAGCACGCTTAGGCCGGATGAAAAGGCTGTAATGACCTATGTTTCATGTTACTACCATGCGTTCTCAGGTGCACAGAAGGTGAGAAACCTACCTCACCCCTCTGTAGAATTTCCCTTTTGATTTAGATTTTCTTACTCTTGTTTTGATGGATTTAATATCATCCTTTTTTTATTAGTCTGGCTTACAGTGGTCCAGCTAATTTTAAAAACAAAATCTAAACAAGCCCTAGATTAGGCATTGAACATGCCCATTCATTCATTCATTACAGTAGTTTTTCCACAATCACCCTGGAACTTTGTTCCTTTGTTATAAATCTCATCAATTAGCTCGTCAAATTCTCCTTGCGGCTTTCCCACAATTTGAAAAATGAAAGGAAGCAGATTACATCCTTGCCTGGTGACTTCTTTCTTGATTTTGCTCAGGATCACTTAAGATTTGGCTTGGGTATGTGCGATTGACATTCCTTGTCAGCCGCCAGTTTTCTCTCAACTCCTGTAGCAATCTTTATCAATTTTTTTTTTGCTTTTTTGGAAAAAAAAATGAGAGGCAACAAAACTGAGAGGCAACTCAGTCTTTGGATATCAGACACATCAAGTACTTGCCTCTTCGGTTTGTTTTTCCAGTTTTAACCCATCTCTTCTTGGTTGCCGTCAGTGCTATTCCTTAATCAGCTCAAGACGCCTCCAATTGCTACCCAATCTGTTTGGCTGGTTGTAGAAAAGCTTCCTCTGATGAAGAGTACAAATCTTGGAGTGAAGTGCTTCTTTTGGTATTGAGTGTTGCAATATGAACATTAGCACATCATCCTGACGATACAAATAAAACAAGAAATCATAATTCGCAGCAATTGTAGACAATCATTAAAATGTTTAAAAAGAATGAAAATAAATTGTCGCAGAATTGTTGATGTTTCAGAATGTAAGTAATTACAAAGCATTGCAAGATGCACATCTCCTCCTTTAATTTACAGAATTAAAACATGAGAGTATTACTGCACTCTGCATTTTGTATTCATAGTTTGATAGTTGCCAGATTGAGTTTATTAAATTTCTAAATCATTTATTTTCCTCTTCTAATAAAGTAGGGTATTGGGCTGTCACTAGTCTTCATTCTTTATCTTATTTTCAGAATGGTGACTTTTCTGAGAGCAATATTTTGGCACTGAACTGGTGACTTCCAAAAAAAAAACCCCAAACATGGACCATATTTGAGTTAACCAGCCCCATTCTTTTCAGTTTCCAGTCCTTTTTTTTCCTTTTTCTGGTACAGCAATCCCAGCGGAAGATTGTCTGTATTCCAGACTACTGCCAGTCTGAATAGTTATAGCTGGCCCTTCAACTTCCCTCCCATCTGGACTCTCATCCCCTAACCCCCACCCCAACATGAATGATTTCATCTTCTGAGGTGACATCTTCCCTATCAATTTCTCTCCCAGTATCTGCTCTTTTGCATCGTCCATCCTGGGGGGCTCGATCCAAATCAAGGCAAACTCGTAACAAAGTTTGATTACCGCTCCTCTTATACCTGACACAAAATTGCAACAGTTGTCTTGTTCAAATGGGAGAAAAATTAATTATAAAGTGTTGACATTCATCAGTGCCAATTGTAAATGGTAGACTCCAGGTCCACAACTATATTTCACCTCATTTGTCCTGGTTCTGATCATAACAATTTCCTTTGATCCAGCTGTATATAGTTCATCAACCCAGAATTTAATATTGGAGGGTCCAAAGTAAGCCAGCAGCAGATTAGTTTCCAACCCAATAACATCTTTAGAATTTTTGTCTTACAATTTCTTAGCTTCACTCTTGAGACTAGTGTCCTTATCTTTCATAGACAATACCCACTTCCTTTTGTTATATCTTTTGCTTTACTCTCTGGCTTGGCTGGTCCTCAATCTAATGTTCAGCTAATTGTTGTGTACTGTATGCTTAATTAATTCCTCCATTGTGTTAATGCTTAACACAAGTTTCTTTTTTTGGGTACTGTTGATTTGTGATAAATGTTCCTGTACGACTGTGGCTTTTGTAATTTACTCATTTTCTAGGGTAGAAGCAACTTGTAAATGTCATTGTCTGGCTGAGTTCTGGGTCTTGAGGTATCTGCAGAGCATCATAATTATGGTTCAACAGAAGATGCTTGTAACTATGAATGGAAAACAATTCCTGCAAATGATGCCCAATTCATGACACTGTGTGTTTGCTTATTAAAACTGATGTATGGAATCATTTTCATGAATCTTTTACTATAGATTCTTTCTGCTTTTAAATGGGTACTCAATGGAAACACTTTCTGTGACTACTTTGATTTAATGAAAACAACAATTTTATAGAGTTTTAAATTCTTCCAAAGTTTTCCTCACTGTCGTTTAGTTCTTTGCTGGTCTTTTGAATTAATTCCATTCCATGTCTTTATCACTTCCCTGGCGAGGGAACACTGACAGTTGACCCAGTTTATAACCAACCCGGCAGGAGGCTGTAACAAAGCCAATTCTGTCCTTTGTTTTTATGTTTTTCTCCCACCTCGATGGATCGCACAGTCCTAAATGTTGTGTTATTGCTTAGCGAAGATTGGGAGCTTGTCATTTGGGAAATAATGTAAGTATGTGACCCATCTGTTGGCTTTTGATGGATGAAGGTTTATTCTAATCTATAAATATGTATCTGGACATTGTCTGCTGCAATTGTGAGGTCGTTTATGAAATTTTATTCTCCTGAGGTTTACTTATCGAACATGATGTTCCCAAGGTCAGTTGGTCAGATATTTGTCCACAAATGCCACATCATCTCTGTCTGTACTTCAGAGAATAAGCACGGCCTGTTTGCAAAGGATTTCCTGCAGTTTGCTAAGTTTGTAAAAATGTAAATATGGATTTTCTTCTTCTCCCTGATCCCTCTTCTCATTGCTCATTTTCCATTTAGATATTAGTGTTGCAAGTCTGAGGAAAATGTCTCCTGAACTGCTTCCTTCTTCTGTCATCCTGTCCTTAATACTGTGCAGGTATCGGCCCTAGTTTGGCTGGAGGTTTTCATTTGCGCTTGTCTTTTCAAGCTAATTCTGAGTTGGTTCTGCTATGTATGTCTGTGTGATCATAAAAACACACGCTTTTTAGATATTGCATGAAGTTTTCCACTGGTCTTGCATCTTTTCTCCTTTTAACATCCTACAAATCTACTGCTGTGTTGTATGTGTTTGAAGGAGACCCTTCGTGCTAACGAATACAACAATCTGCCCGAAGTGACAGTGGCAAAGGTTTTTCTTGCAATCCAGTGCCACAGAAAAATAATTCTATTTCACATTGCAGTGGACTTTCAACTGAGACTAACAGCCTGCTCGTCCTCATTGTTATACAAAATCTTTGTATTGCTGAGTATTTCTTTGTCCACGATGCACATTGAGAAGTTTCCAAAGGTGAGTCCTACTTGCAGCATTTCCCAAATGCAATTAACTGTCCCCTCACTCCTGACTGACGGAGCTGAGTGGCTGAGGATGCAGTTAGAGTATAAAAAGAAAGGGCTGCAGATGTTTTGAGAATCATACAGAGCAAGAACTGCAGGTACTGGAGGAACACCGCAGGCCAGGCAGCATCAGAGGAGCAGGAAAGTTGACCCTTCTTCAGACATTTAAGAACGTTGCCTCCCTACAAAAATTGAAAATGTTGACACATCCAGACAAGATTTTTCACCATGCACAGACAGGCACGGTTGTCAAGCATAACCATCAAGCTTATTTGCTCACCTTTTGAGAGAAAATTACTTAGGAAGTAAATATTGGATTTAAATGGCCATAAGCAAACTGCAAACTGCCTTCTGTCTGCCCTCATATTGTAAATGCCATCTAAACTGGCAATGTTTGCGGGGTGGCTTTCTGCATAAATGTTAGCAAGTTTCTGTGCAACGTGTAAATTTTGTTGACATGTTGTCATTTTGAGCTTTTCTGATTGGTTTGAAATGCAGTTGGTAAACACGGTGGCAGGACCAGCCCATGCTCAGTGTACACAATGAGTCACTCGATCCACAACGTATCTCCATTTTTAAAAAAAATTTTCTGGGTTTAAATGGAGTAGTGGTTTATAATGCTTACGAGAGTTAAAGAAATTTGCAACTGGCCTTCAAATATTTTTGTCGAAGTGGAATGATCAGGAACATCAGTGTTAGCAGTTGTATGTTAACTGAATATGGGGCCATATAGAAACTAATGAGTTATTAAGACCCAAATTCTTGGCCGTTTTGGACTTTTGTTTTAATTCAAAGCCCCAGATTCAAAATCCTGCTACTTCAATTATTTTCCTAAACTTGTGCTCCATGCTAGAGATTGTAGAGAATGGCACTTACGTTAATTATTACTTGCGTTTGTTAGTGTGACTCTCAAAATGTTGATGGACTTGGGAATCTAATGTCACTTCCACTTTCAATAAAACAACTTAGCACCACCTCTTCCAAAGGCTTTTGTTTTCTTCAAATAAAAGCCTGTAGGCTCATCATTTTCGAGATTGGGAGCAGCTTATTGGCCCAGTTTAATTAATGATATCAGGTTCACTGCTATATGCTGGTGCCCCCTAGTTAAACTTTGAAACAAGTACAAGAATTTCATTCAATTTGTAGTGTCCTCCTAATCTGTTCAAAATGGATGTGGTTAATTAGGATAAACATTTCTTATTAGAGTGTGTCAATCTGCTATTGTATTTCCTGTGTATCTCTCTATTTCTTTTTAATGCTTATTCATTTTCTTGCATTTAACCCATTTGTGTTTTTATAGAAATAGATTTCCCTTCTTTGTGTCTGTGTCACACAACCAGATCTAGCCTCTGCTACACTTGTCTCAGAAGGATCACGTACATGTGAGAAAGGATCATTGTCTCATTAAAAGAAGGTCTTCCCTTCCTACAGGAAAGTGCTTGGTTTGTACTGGGCACAGCTCC